TGCCAATGTACAAAATGATACAGTGATTGCACACTCATGAACCAAAACCATAGCACCATTTTTTTTTTCCAGTGTCAGACCCTTTTGAAAACATTGGTCTGTGTATGCTTGCATCCTCAGAACTAACACCTTCTAATCTTACTTGTTAACCTTCATTCTGTGTTTTATATTTATCAAATTAGTGTAACCAAACGTTTTCATTTTATATTTTTTGTGTTATGCGATTACATAATCTAATAATTTATAAATACTGAAAATTTTCAAACATTATAAAATAATACGGCATGAACAATATTTGACTTTGTATGCAAATGTTAATATGCAAATCCCGGATGTAAAGTATTTTTTTTTTAATTCACATTTATTTTGCGTTAAAAAAAACCAGTTTGATGTTTACTTTTTTCTCATCTTATCTTGAGCATATGGGTTTGAACAATAAAATCATCTGATGGCTTGTCTGGCAATTTCTATAATCATTTCCAACGGTAAAGTTTACTGAATAGCAACATGTGTCAGATCTTTTAAACGGATGCACACGCAACACTCAGGTTCTGGATCAGGACTGCAGTCCAGAAGTGGACAAACAACCAGAACTTTCCACCTGAGTTTACAGCTGGTGAGCGCAAAGAAGAAAAAGTAACATTTTTGTTTTGTTTAAAGCAGCTGATAACTGCACTATTTTTTACCAACTGTGTGCTATCAGTGCTGGACATGAACAGTCCTATTATTACACAAATGCAAAATTACAGGAAAAACAAGAAGAGAGAGAGTCACCCATTAGGAAACAGGACCAATGGTAGGCGCAGTACCAGTAATTTATTTCATAGAACATCGGAGAAAATTAGTTGATTGTCTGATCAGAATGAAACAAAATCAGCTAGAGCATACATACTACATGAGAACGGCAGGCTACAGGACCAAAAAATAGATGGGTGGAGGGATTAAAAAATACAAAAAGAAATGCAGTATGACGTTAACACAAGCTATACAGCTAGTACAAGACAGGAAACTACATCTCACTCGTCTCTATGACGCTTTATAGCACTAGACAGGAAGCTACATCTCACTCGTCTCTGTGATGCTTTACAGTACAAAACAGGAAACTACATCTAACTCGTCTCTGTGATGCTTTACAGTACAAGACAGGAAACTACATCTCACTCATCTCTATGACACTTTATAGAGCAAGACAGGAAGCTACATCTAACTCGTCTCTGTGACACTTTACATCATAAGACAGGAAACTACATCTCACTCGTCTCTATGACGCTTTATAGAGCAAGACAGGAAGCTACATCTAACTCGTCTCTGTGACGCTTTACATCATAAGACAGGAAACTACATCTCACTCGTCTCTATGACGCTTTATAGAGCAAGACAGGAAGCTACATCTAACTCGTCTCTGTGACGTTTTACATCATAAGACAGGAAACTACATCTCACTCGTCTCTATGACGCTTTATAGCGCAAGACAGGAAACTACATCTAACTCGTCTCTGTGACGCTTTACATCATAAGACAGGAAACTACATCTAACTCGTCTCTGTGACGCTTTACAGCATAAGACAGGAAACTACATCTAACTCGTCTCTGTGACGCTTTACAGCACAAGACAGGAAACTACATCTAACTCGTCTCTGTGATGCTTTACATTACAAGACAGGAAACTACATCTCACTCGTCTCTGTGACACTTTACAGCACAAGACAGGAAACTACATCTCACTCATCTCTGTGATGCTTTACAGTACAAAACAGGAAACTACATCTCACTCGTCTCTGACCCTTTACAGCACAAGACAGGAAACTACATGATCATCTAACTCGTCTCTGTGACACTTGACAGCAGAAGCAGTAGTACAGAAGAGGAAGTTATGTTTACTATGACCAGAATATTTCCATCTTTGAAACATGTTGCATTGAAGTGTTCCAATAGAGTGTTGCAGTGGAGTGTTGCAGTGGAGTGTTGCAATAGAGTGTTGCAATGGAGTGTTGCAACAGTGTTGCAATATAGTGTTGCAGTGTAGTGCTGTAGAATGTAACATGTAGGGGCAGCAGAATAGACCATGCTAATCTAAATTTGATACAGTACTACAGAATTACGTAGGCATTGTGAACACTTTGTAATGCCGAGGTGCCAGGTTTGATCCCAGTTGCAGGCAATTTGACAGCAGACTATCTTGCATTGGTTTCGACATTGGTATCAAGAGCTAACTGTTTAGAAAGCAGTGGTTAACTACTGGAGGTGAAATAATTTTCTAGATTAAACTACAACTGTAAAGGAGGCACAACTAACTTTTCTTAAACTTAAATTGATTTATTTTGGTGTCAATATAACATTATGTAGATTTATAAAAATACTGTAGAAATTAACTTTTTTCTTTACATACAAGGTCCGACAATTAAGTAATGAGACTAATTCCATAAAAATTTTAATAATCAGCAGTTGAAAATATAACCTGTATTTTTTTTTCAAAGTAAGCCCCTTGTGCATTGACACAGTGAGTAGCACAATTTAACAAACACTGGAATGACCTCTGTAGTTCTTCTGTTTCTGCTCTTGAAGTAGATGTCAGCGCCCTTTAGATGTCATCAATATCGTCAAAGAAGTGTCCTTGCAATGGCAACTTTAATTTTGGGAATAGAAAATAGTCACAGAGAGACAAATCTGAGGAACAGGGTGGATGGTTGAGAACACACACTTGTTTTGGGGGCCAAAAATACCTGTTTTGATGATGTCTCATGGGTACTCAACCCGCTGATGTTTTTGGTCATCAAACAACGAGGGTCTCTCTATTAACACCAGATTCATCTGCCATCATCCTTCATTCTTGTATTCGTTCTGTGACTTTTGCAATGAGTTCATCATTTTAAAAAAAAATTGGGTGTCCAGGTCTATTTGCATTAGTAATTATTTCTACACCACTTTTGAATCGTGAATACCACCTGAAAATCTGTGCACCAGATAAACAATTATCTCCATAAACTTGTCGCATCAATTCAGCTGTTTCAGTGGCCCTTTTTTTGAGTTTTAAACAGAATATAATGTTAGCTTTTTGCTCCATGCTGATTTTGTAACAATGCACATCTAAATAGGTCAGTAAAATGGTGGCTTGTTTGTTGTCTGCTTATCAGGCAGCGATGCAAAGTTGCCAGTTCATAGATGTGAAGGTTGCCTCTTTGGATTCCATACTTTGCTTTATAGATGGCATCTTTGTCTTGGCCGTAATAAAATCAGTCTCATTACCTAATTGTCTGACTTTGTTTAAACAACAGCACAGTAAATTTGTTATAAACTCTGAAATAATATTATAGCCACATTGTTCATCTTTCAGTATTTATGTCATTTCATTTTAAGAACTGGCTATTTAAACACATTTGCATAACTTTATGAATATTTATATTAGTTGAGATAAAATCAAATTAAAAACTGCAGAATGTTGTTTGTGCATCCCTTAAAGTTATCCCCCCTCCCTTCCCACTTGTATTAATGCCTACCTCTTGCTTTTTTCTTTACTATGGTCAGATAATAATTTTTTTTGAGTGGCCCCACAAAAATTCAGTTATCTCAGTTTTTTATTTTGACAATTCTCATTTCATTCCCCATTAGTCGAGAACCACTGTTTTTCATTTTTTTCTTTCCTCCATAAAATATAACCTATCCTTTTTTTTTTTATGTAAAGATTTCTCAAAGAGCTCAATTTGACTCTATTATTACTTATTCATAATAAGGTTTTTGTGTGTGCTATGTAGCAGGGTTTAAGTATGCATAACATTAAACCATTTTTTAAATATATTGTTCGTCTTTCTACATGTTGATATTGTTTTTCTTAAAGCTCTTTTTTTTTTCTCTTATGCATGTTCCTTTTGAATATTCTTCTTCTTTGGGTTCTTTGCATTCACTGCCTGTAAACTCTGGAAAAAATAGTTCCTATTGTTCATCCACTCTTGGACTTTAGGCTTGATCCAGAAATTGATTTTTGCCTGAACATCCATTTAACAGATCTAGCTTATTTTAATGCAGACTGGTTCTCAAGCAGATGCACTCCAACTTCGAAGGAAATTCTTGAATATTGAATTTAATAATGTCAGGGAGTTTCAGCATTATATAGAAAAAGAAAAAAAAGAAATTCTGACAGACCTCCATTGTCTGTATATAATGTCCACAATTTACATTTATACAGTAGTATGCGCAGTATGAAATATCTCAGAACTGATTTTCTTACTTTCATCAACAAAGATCTATTACTCTATAGGGTTCTTTTCCTGATGTTTATGCTACTGTTGCCTGTTACCTGCATGTTTTCTTTGTGTTTTTTCTATCTGTTGCATCCATTGTCTACAGTGGTTCCATCTTTCTTCTTGTTTCAACATTTGTGTGTTAACTTTGTGGCTGTCTTTATTTTTTGCTGTTTGACAATTTGTTGTCTTGTAATTTTTTTTTTATTGCTGCATAGTCATAGTTCTTTCCACTCACATTAAAAACAGTTATGTAACTGCGTTAACAAATATCATGTGGCTTTGATGGTGGCACATACACAGTGTGTTTTGACAAAACTCTTTATTGGTGAATATACAGTAAGATGTATTTAATTTAAGTGATTTTTTTTTGGGGGGGGGGGGGGGGGGGGGGGGGTCAGCTTATTACCTTGGGTTATCCCATATGTATGGCTCACTCTCTCTTCGCAGAATGGCTAGCTGCCCCCTGAGAGCCTCACACAAAGCATGAACTCCATAGCTCCAGCGATGATCCCCAAGGATCTCTATACAATTATCACTCATGAACTGAAAGATGTGCCCATGAAACTAACCCATGACCTCCAAAGTGTGAGGCAGGTGGCTAGACCAATTTGGCTCAGGGAACTCCCCCCCCCCCCCCCCCCCCCCCCCCTTCCCTGATATCTTAGTAAAAGACTTTTAACTATTCCTCTAATTTTCACAGTTGTTACAGTGATTTTGTCACATATTGTGTTTTCAAGTAATTTTCTGACCATGTTGCAGGCTCGTGAGAAGTTGACCAAAGAAAATGCCCACCTACGATCCCGACTGGAGTTGGCCAATGACCAGATTTCCATGTTAAAGTCACACATTGGGGTCATCAGACAGAATACAATTGCTTTCATTCTGGAGCAGATGGACGCACTACACATGCAGAGAGACACAGAAGTATGACACATTTGCTGCTTCGTTGTATACCAGCGCTGAGGTCAACACTTGAGATCAAGGCCTCCAATAACCCAGTTTCTTTGCAAGAAGCGCATAATTCATTTCCAGTCTCATTTAAAAAAAGAGATTTTTGGCTGACATAAGGATAATGCATATAGCATGGACCTATAGTCATCTGGGCTGTAACACAGGGTTACAAGTGTCAGTGTGTGGTCAAATAGTCTTATTCTTTGTGCTCATAACAGACTTGCAAATACTGCACCGTTGTAACTGTGTAAGTTGTCATGAATGTTTCTGACGAGCAGAAAACTTCAGCCTGGATGGAGATCCTGATTGACTCATCCCTTGTGTTATTCAGGAAATGCTCGAATCATTGCACACACTCTGTACAACATATCCGGCAATTCTTGAGTGTTGGTTTGTGATTTTGCTGCTCAAGACCAAAGATCTAGAGTTCAGTTTACTTAAGAGGCTACTTGTCATTTTGTACTGTGAACTGAAGTACGGATACTGTGGATGTCTCCAGGACATGTGTTTTTACGGCATAATAATTCAGTGCATTTTTCTCGGGAGTGCGTCTCCAATTACATATCTTCCGTATGTGTTGCAGTTACACTTTTGCTGTATTTATTTTCAAAATGCATGTGTCTTCTTTGCATATTCTATCTGGACATATTCCCAAAGGCACACACCTTCACTTTGTGTTTGATAACCTCCATCATAGAATGCAGGAGGGAAAAAAAAAAGCAATTGAATCCTGTAGATCCATTAGTGCTGGATACCAGCCTTTGTAGAATGTGGGAATGGGTATTATTGAATATTGATATTATTAATCTATTAATACATTAGTATTATTGATACTTCTATCAGTCCTGGATAATATTCATCATAGACTGTTTGAAAAAAAAAATAATTGAATTCTGTAGTTCTTCCTGGTTTACATCCATTGTAGAGTGCATGTAGAGATGGTTATCATTTAAGCTTTGCACTTTCATCATACCTGGATAATATCCTCCATAGAAGAAAAAAGGGGAAAAAAAAATTATAACCAAATCTATTAGTTCTATCACTCATGCATAACATCCCTTGTGGAGTTGAGGAATGGTTATTATTGAAGCCCACGCTTCCCTAACACCTGGATAATATCCATCGCAGAGTGTAGAAAACCACAACTGTCACTGAATCCCAAAATTCCATCACTCCTGGATAATATCCATTATATTGTTTAGTAATGGTTGTTATTGAAGAATGCACTTCCATCACTCTGGCGTAATAGCCATCACATAGAGTGGGAACAAACGGACTTCCATCACTCTGGCGTAATAGCCATCACATAGAGTGGGAACAAACGGACATCCATCTCTCCTACATAAGATCCATTGTAAAGTTTAGGAATGGTTATTATTGAAACCTGCACTTCCATCACTCTGGATAATATTCATGGTAAAGTGTAGGGAATTTATCATTGAAGCCCACACATCCATGAAAGCTGTCACTGGAAATGTAGAATTAAAGGACTCAGTTCTTCGTCTTGTAAGGAGTTGGGCATAAGTTGTAGCCCATTTTGTGTAGACCCGTCAGCAGTATATACCAGCTGCCTTTACTTTTGAGACCATTTCTGGCTACCACTTTTAGGATGGGTTGAGCTAAGGTAAATTTGATGCCATGGGGGGGGGGGGGGGGGGGGGGGTTAGGTTCAAACCTAAGACCGGGCAGGCAGGCAGGGTGATACTGCTAGTCATAAAAAATAGTTCTTCTTTATCTTAAAGCGTAGCTTTTCAGACGTGTATTGACTGTAGTGTGAAGGTACGTCAGTATCTCTTATAAGTTTAAAGGACCCTTTGCAAAGCCTTTGGGGCCCTGCCTGTATTTTATGGACCAATCTGTACTCTGTGGGTGCTCTGGTCAACATCGTGCCGGTCATCTTTACTTTCCAGGATTATAATTGGTACCCATTTCAGGTTGGGTCACTCTGGCAGTCTAAGTCATGTGTTGTCCGGCTTTATCAGAACCTGCACCCATCTTGTATAAGGGGGATAATTTGATTAGGTTAGTTGCGTATCCTTTACAGGACGTTGCAGAACCAACCCCAACAGCTCCTGGCAGTTGTGTGGTTTTTTTTAAGGCAAATTTACGTCCAGTAGTTTGCCATTGCTTTCTGGACGGTCGGCTTTCTTGATACCACTGTCAAAACCAACGCAAGGCGCATTGCCCGTAGCTGGGATTGAATCCGGTATCGCGGCATTACGAAGCGTTAGCATCGACTTAGCCACAGAGCCGATGATAATTTGATTAATTTCTAGTTTTGCTGGTAGGCTAAATGTTGTATAATTGTGTTTCAGGCCACATTTTTTTTAAAAAGAACTACTGTAATAGACACTTTGTGGTAAGTACCGGCACTTTTTTCAGAACTACTGTAATAGACACTTTGTGGTAAGTACCAGCACTTTTTGCAGACAGTTTGTGTTCTGAGAACCAGGATACATGCCCTGCATACTGGAATGATTATGTAGGAAGCCATTCTTCAGTGTCAGGTTTGTGGAGTTCAAGTTTTTCACTATTGTATTCTGAATAAATGAAATAAAGTAATACTTTATTCACTGCCATCTAGTGTAATAATTATTTTGATTTATGATTGTTTACATAAATTCTTACGGCCATTGCTACGTGTCTCAGATGTGTTCTTACACAGCGTAAGCCTATACTGATGTTTATATTATTATATGTTTTTATTGTGTACTTTTCCTAGAAGGTACGGGAATGTATAAATTATGTCAGCTGGATGTAAACATCATTTGGTACATTTTCTCGTGCAGATTATGATATATTATCCATTTATCGGACAGATATGATTGTTTTATGCAGCTAGTCGAAATTCTCAGAGACAGTAATTGGTAATTTAGTGATCATAATAAGATTTGAATGGTGATATCCCAATGAATAAGGAGCTGCAGAAGGGCAGTGGCTGGGGGGGTGGGGGGGGGGGGGGGCTCACTTGCTGATCCCCAATCGTGAGTTTGTTAAACATTTGGCTGCAAAGTCTGTTGTATCCAGTTTAAAAAAACTGCCAATTACTGCCTGTATTTTACCACTTTTGCGGAGTAGGCAGGGGGTTTTTGAGTCTGAGGATTTACGCTGCCATGACTACCGCTGTCGCCACGACTGTGCAGGTGAGGATTTCATTTTACCCCTGACAGAAAAAAAAAAAATCCCCAGCTTTACCAAGGATTCGAACCTGGGTCTCCCACTTGATAGCCCAGCGTTCTGACCATTCGGCCAGCTGCTCCTCCAGTTTACAATATAAAAACAATAGGCTGTTGCTTTCATGCAAGACTGGGTCTTTAGGATCCTGTCCTGCATGGGAAGTGTGCCAATGGGTTCAAATGACTGCCTTGGTCTGGGTTTTATGTTCCACTAAAGTGTATCCTTTATCTGACTGTTCTGTAGATGGCACCACAGTGTGGCCAGATAAAAATCATTTTATCACAATAGTTTGTTCATAATCCAGTTGTTCACTAATTGATCTGATTTGGTTCAGCCGAAGTACAAAAGTGATACTTGTCTTTGTGATAACATGTGCCAAGTTAAACAGCTTGTAAAATTGAAAGTGTTTACTTTATGGTAATGACATGCCAAATTGGATCTTGTATAAAGCTTTATGTTTTGTGATAAATTTGACTTCTTGTGTAAAAAGGTGTAGCTTTGCGGTAAAGTTGCCAGTTTAGACAATCATATAATTGAGTTTTTAATTTAAGATAGTTTTGTTCAAGTTGGACAATATGTAAAAAATGGTTTATATTTATTATGAGATATTGCCAAGTTGTATATGTTTTAATGTAAATTTATAAGTTTGCAATAAGTTAATTGTAAAGTTGGTCAACTGGTAAAATGAACATACAACAAGATCTGCCAAGCTAAATGTCTTGTTAAACAAAGTAATAACTGTGTGATAAGATTTTCCAAGATGGACATTTTCTAAAATAATCTCCTAATTTTGTGATAAATATTTGCTAATTTGGCCATCATGTGAAATAATATGTTGACTTATTTTTGTAATATTTGGAAACATATGATCTCCTCATCATCTTTCTCATACTGTCATGCATACAAGAGACACTTTTCTGCTGCTGAAACATCTGTGACTGTCAATTGCTGTAGTTGTTCTTGTTGCTGTGGTGAGAAATTTTGGTCTTCAAGTTATTATCATCTTGTTTAGTTGAGATCTGTTTGTGGTATAATGCTCCTGAGGTGATATTTTCAACTATACAATTTCTGATGAAGAGAGCTAAAAATTGCCTGTATGTTCTAAATATTAACTTGTTACTTAAGCTCTATGTTCTTTTGTTTTATAATTTGTTCCTTATTTAAATGTAATAATTTATCATATGCATTGTTATGTTTTTAATTTTTTATTTGTTATTTATTCAAAGTAAAATTAATTTTTTTCAAATCTGACTCTTTACATTTATCTGAATTAATTGTTTACGTTATATTCTACTGTTATTTTATTAATCTCTTGAATTTCATATTTATTATCAATTTATTATTCTGTTACTTATAAATCAACATTTATTCTCTAATAATTTACAGGTTCATTTCTATTACATTTTTAAATTCCTCCACAAAAATGATTATTCTCTCTCTTCTCTTTCTCTTCTGCCTCCATACCACCCTTCTTTTTTTCTCTCTCTCTCTCTCTTTCTCTCTCCCTCTCTCTTCCCTCTTTTTCTCTCCCTCTCTCTCCCTCTCTCACTCTCTTTCTCTCCCTCCCTCACTCTCTCTCTTTTTCTTGCTCTCTCTCACTCTCTCTCCTTCTCTCTCTTTCTTTCTCTCTCTCACTCTCTCTATCTCCCTCTCTCTCCCTCTCTCCCTTTGTCTCTCTCCCCTATCTCTCCCCTCTCCTCTCTTTCTCTCCCTCTTTCTCCCCCTCTCTCTCTCCCTCTCTCTCTATCTCCCTCTCTCTATCTATCTCCCTCTCCCCCTCTCTCTTCCCTCTCTCTCCCTCT